GCCCGGCCTGTGCCCTCTCACAGTCTGGGACCCCTCGGGGGATGACCACCTGCTGGCTTAGGCCCGCTCCCTGGGGGATCGGGCCTAAGCTGGCAGTCAGATATCCTTCTGGCAGCCCGGGAGCCCTTGAGGGATGTCCACTTGCCAGCGGGGACCAGGCCTAAACTGCAGTCGGACATCCTTAGCGCTGCTGAGGAGGCAGGAGAGGCTCCCACCAGCACCGCTGTACTGGCAGCCGTCAGCCTGGCTTGTGGCCGAGCAGAACTCCCCCTATGGGAGCGCACTGACCACCAGGAGGCAGCTCCTGCATTGAGCATCTGCCCCCTGGTGGTCAGTGTGTGTCATAGTTATCAGTCATTCCCAGTCGTTCTGCTGTTAGGGTCAATTTGCATATTACCCTTTTATTATATAGGATACCTTCTTAATACATATTTTGGATGCTACTTAAATTGAATGAAGGCCCAACTAAAATATAATTATAATTCATTTCCTTACACTTTTCTTGAACTTGAAGTTTTCTTGTACACATGACCTCATTCATAAGTTGTTTCCTTGCCTCCTTTTCAAGTTTCAGCTGTTTGTCCTTCTCCGCCCACTGCTTTGCCTTCTCTTCTTCTAATATTCTGTCCAATTCTTTTTCCTGAGCATTTTCTTCCTCACGCTGCTGTGCCAAATACTGATGATATATCTTCTGTTCTTTTATCCTATCTTCCTACATAACATAAATTGACCACATGTTGTTAAAACATTCTTAAGTGTGATAATGATATTGAGGATATTTAAAAACAATCTTAGAATTACAATCTCAATGTTTCAGAACTACCACTGAAATTTTATAGATGAAATATTATGTCGAGGGTTTACTTCAAAATATTTAGGGGTGGTGGGGGTATTGGGTGGTGGTATAGATGAAACAAGAATGGTCATTAGCTGATGGTTTTTGAAGCTAGGTAAGGGACACATGGGGGTTCTTTGAACTATTCTTTGTACCTGTTTGAAATGTTCTAAAATACATGTTGAATACGTTAATTCACACACTATTCCAAAAAGTGTGTCTCAAAGCAGTTCCCAAATAATTTGCAATGGTACAGCTTTATTTTCATTTATTTTAATTTGGGTAGATGAAATCTTAACCTGATAAACAAAATAAATCACTACTACTACATGGCACTGTTTCTGACCAGAAGATAAGTCAGTCACCTGATATTTTATAACAGCAATTCTCAATCGTAGCTACACTTTGGAATAACCTGGGGAGCTTTTCTTCCTTTTCTTTTCTTTGTTTTTATTCTTTACTTGAGTTCTGGCTAAGAAAGAATTCAGAGCCAAGACTCAAATACAAGCAAAAGTTTATTTAGAAAGTCACAGAGGTAGAAGTGAGCCGTAGAAGAAATAGGCTCAGGAAACAAGTTACAGAGGCCAAAAAAGAGCCCTTGGAGCTTAGGAGAAAGAGAGAGGCAAGGAAAATGTGCTGGGGGGCGGGCGAGAGAGAGAGAGAGAGAACCATGCCCATTTGGGGAGCTTAAAAATTATTAAGGGCTGAGTCTCACTCCAGAGATTCTTATCTAATGGATAGTTTTAAGTTCCCCAAGTGATTTTAATGTGCAGCTAAGGTTGTGAACTGGACTTTATAACAAAGACATTTCAGTTTACTTCTCCATCTTCCATGGTTTTATATTTGTGCTGTTCCATTCAATCTCTGATCTGATCTCTTTTGAGAAAATCATAGTCCTGAGGTAGGACTAGCAAGGTTTGAGGGCTATAGCTGTACTATCAGAATGGCTTGTATACACAGTCTCATTCTTACTTAGGAATAAATTTAACAAGAGAAGGGCAAAACTTATACTCTTAAAACTAAGAAATATTATTGAAATAAATTAAAGACATAAATAAATGAAAAGACATCCTATGTTCATGGATCAGTAGACAATATTGTTAAAATGGCAGTTGTCCCCAACTTGGTCTAGAGATTCAAAATAATCCCTAACAAAATCTCATTGTCTTCTTTGCAGAAATCAATAAACTGATCCTAAATTCACATGGAAATTGAAGGGAGACAGAAGAGTCAAAACAATTTGAAAAAGAACAAAGTTGGAGGATTTACATTTCCTGATTTCAAACTCACTACAAAGCTCAGTGATCAAGATGTATAAACATGAGATAGCATAAGGATGGACATATAGACTAATGGTATAGAACTATAAGTCTAGAAGTAAACCCTCACATTTACTGTCCTTTGATTTTTGACAAAGTGAAAAGACATGTAGGAAATTTAAATCCATATTACTTAGTGAAATAAGCCAATCTAAAAAGGCTAAATATTTTATGATTCCAACTATATGACATTCTGGGAAAAGACAAAACTATGGAGATAGTTTTAGGCCAATGAAACTACTCTGTATGGTACTGTCATGGTGGACACATGTCATTATACATTTGTCCAAACCCATAGAATGTATAACACCAAGAGTGAACCTTATGCAGGCTTGAAGGGAGCGCCAACCAATTGATGTGTTTCTCTCACATCGATGTTTCTCTCTCTCTGTCTCCCCCACTCCCATCCACTCTAAAAAGCAATGGAAAAATATCCTCGGGTGAGGATTAACAAAACAAAACAAAACACACACAAAAAACAAACAAAAGTCAAGCTTAATGTAAACTATGGACCTTGGGTAATAATGATAATAATGTAGGTTAATCAAATGTAACAAATGTACCACTCTATTGGGAGATGTTGATCATGGGGGGAGGCTTTGCATTTGTGGGGGCAGGAGGCTATGGGAAATTTCTGTATCTACTGTTCAACTTTGCTGTGAACCTAAACTGCTCTTAGAAATAGTCTTTAAAAATAGGACTATATTATAGGAAAAGCATGACACCCTTAAGAGTTCAATACAAATGTCAAAGGAACAGACAGCTAAATGAATACTGGAATGCTTTTCTCTACTCTCCTTGCCTGACAACACTTTACATATCCTTTCATATCACTTTCTCAGTGATGTCCTCCCCAACTTGCAGGCAGGCATAATCCCTCCTCCTCCTGCGATCTCATCGCCATGTGATAGAGTAGGAGTTCTCAGGATTCAGTGAACATCTGAATAAACCTGGGGGAGCTTGTTAAAACACAGATTTCTTGCCCCTGCCAGGATTTCTAGATTCGGATTCTGGAGCCTACAAATTTCATCTCTCCCAGATGATGCTGACACCACACTTAGAGTGGCACTGTTACAGTTCATTCTGCATGTGGCTGGCTCCTGTAAGACTGAGAGCTCAACAAGGAATTTCACCCAGCACATATTAGACACTGAATACACGTCTTACTCTTTTTTGCTTGTTTTGATCAGCCTCGTCCTGTAAGTCTTGCTGTGCCATTTGCACGAGTTTCGTGCTCAAGTCCTGCTCTTCTCTGTACTCCTGCTGAAGACGTTCTATCTTCTCTTGGAGGGCTTTTTGCAAAGTGGTCCTAAGTTTCTGTTTTGTCCTCTGTTTCTCTATCTTATCCTGCTCATTCTCAAATTTCACCTGAGCTCTTTCATCTTCCTAAGGCAGAACAACAATGAAGACAATTCAGTACAATTGGACAAAACAAATTAATGCATTTCATATACACACCTGGAATTAGAAGGACTATAAGAAATAAAACTTGCCTTCTCATTGCTGAGTCAGCAGTAAGGCTTTGTGAAATTGCTGCGTATGTAATTACAAAGTAATAGTTGTCAAGTTCAAAATGCAGAAATGTATAAAGAGAAATCACCTTTAAACCTAGTACCCATCACTCAGCACCACTCTCAACATTTCAGTGGATTGGCCTACACTTTACTCTTCTATGCCCATCTGCACATCTAGATGTGGGTGCATTATTAAACAGCAATAAGAGTCCAAAATGGAAATGTACATGTCAGCTAAATACGCAAAGCTAAATTTTAAGCATTTTGTTCTCTAAAGTATCCCCCCATCCCTCTCATTTTCTTAGCTTTCTGGCTGGCTTGACTGCCTGGCCAAACAGGCGGTTTTAACTGGGGCACCAATGCTGTTGGGCCTTGTGGGTTTAGTAGAAAATTTGGGACATTAGTCCTCCTGCCAGAGGCAGCTGAAGTCTCCTGAAGGGATAAGTATTTGTCCAGCTGGGACAGGAGATGATGTAGCAATCAATAGTGAGGATGGGATACAAATCCCAATTTGACTTGATTTAACTGAGGTTCATAACAGCTGTGATTACTGGTCTGTGAGAGGGGAGTTATGTATACTAGACTTTTCCACTAATGCCAGTAAATTCAACTGAATTGTAAGGGTCAAATTCGATAAGTGCAGAATCTAAGGAAAAGGAATGGGTATCAAGCATGAAAGCCGATGGAATAGCAGGCCACACTTTTTTTAAAGTAAGCTCAACCACATCCGGCGGAAGTAACCAGCCAAATCCAGACTATAAGATAGGAAGGGATGGGATGGGGGAAAACTGTTCAAGATTGAGGGACCTAAAAGTAGTTTGCCATGTTTTGGCTTCACCGGGATAGTTTTAATCTTACACCTGTTGTGCCAATGTAATGAATTTATTGCACCCCTGTCAATCTCAAGTGAATAATAAACAGTCATTCTTTCTAAAAGAGACTTATAACAACCATATTTGGATTCTGATTTAACTATCAAATAAGTTAGACAATGATGGTGTAATGTTGATTCGTGCACAGCAGATGGTTATTGTTGTGTTGGATGCTGTCATTGTTTTATTAGACAGCCTAAGGGAAAAGAGGTCAGTGCCCTGGCCAAATAGGTGCTGCCTGTTTCAACCGCACACTTGTTGAAAATGCTGCAGTAGGGGCAGCAATCTTGTTGGAACAAAATTATTGATATTGGTGGCCAGAAGGTCACCATAGCTGTTCCACAGCATTTCTTCATAGGATTTGGAAACTGTCAATTTACATATCACATATCAAAGAACAGGGGATGTTGCTGAATTGTCACTAGCCCTCCATAGCACTGCCGGTGACTATCCCATTTCACCCTCCCAAAACAGGCAGCTGCATTTTGCCTCCTTTCGCAGATAAAGAAATGGAGCCACCGTAGTGAAGTAACTTGCTCTCTGCAATGGGAGGGCACTATTAGCTGGGCCTTGAAATCCAAGGCTCTGATCATGTTGCCCTGTGAACCGGCCCAGGCCATCAGGCACACTGTGCAGCCACAGGCCTACAACCTGGTCCTGTGACCACGGAGTGATCATCCTATGACCAGCATTTTAAAAGGCCTACCACAAGGCGCGCCTCCTCTTCCTTCAGCCGCTGCGCTGCCTGCCTTCGCGCGTTGATGTCGGTGAGCTGGGCATTCAGCCCCAGCCGTGTGTTCTCCACTAGCTTTTTCTGTCTCCTCGCCTCTCCGGCTTCTCGCCTTTCCTTGGCTAATCGGTCTTCCTCCCAGAGCTTACAGAACATCTGCTCTTCCACCAGTTTTTGCCTTTTCAGCTCCTCATTAAACGCAACCTGTGCTTTCCGCTCCTCGCACACCTTCTTCTCATGGATAGAAAGCAATTCAGTGCGGAGCTCCTCACAGCGTTCCCTGAAAGGAGAATTTTAAAGACAAAACCTTCATGAGACATGGCTCTATTTAGGCACATATCTGTACAGTCAGATCCTGGAATAGAAAAAGTCAAAGATCTGGATGTAGGCCATACGAGCAGAGAAAACATGTGATGAATGGCAGGGAGATAGGCACCATGATGTCACAGACAAAATACGGACACTGGGTCAGACAGAGCAGGCTTTGAATCCTAGTTTTGACATTTCCTGTGTGACCTTGGGTTGAAAACTTGACCTATCTGATCTTTTTTTTTTTTTTTCAGTCTTTTAAGGATCTTTTTTTTAGTCTGGTAAGGATCAGAGATAACAGATGTAAATGCCTGATAAGTACTAAGAGCTCAATAACTGATAACTATGATTATTACTACCGGGGAAATACTACAATATTACAAGTGGACGAGGCTTTGGTAGAAAGAGACCCCACATGCACTTCCAAGGAAAGGTCATCTGTGACCACATAGATGGAGGCTTCCCCATCACCCCTGGGCTCCCGGCAGGTCACATGTCCACCGAAGGGGTTGCGCCTGAGCTGCCTGTGCACACCCGGGCTATGTCACCATTCAAGAAGACATGCTCTCACCATAGTGTTTAGACTGTGTCCTCTCTTTCAGTCTCGGTTATTCAAATTTCTTCAAAAGTTCTTCATTGAGCCCTGTGATAGTCAACAATGTCTACACTTCAGAATTACTTAGGGATATTTTCAAAATCCTACTCCCCACTTCTTCTCTTCCTCCTCCCAGACCAGACTAGGTAAAACAGAACACCTGGGGTGGACACAGGCCTCTGCAGTTTGTCAGAGCACCCAGGAGGTTCTGGCATCCAGCCGCGCGAGGAGACCCTCTGACTGGAGGCAATGTCTATAAACATCAAGTTTCCTGGTTTCTAAATCAAATTCAGCGCCAAGAAGCTGAAGTTTGAAAATGGGCTCAATATAGAACTTCTGATGAAATTTTAATAGCTAAGACTGAAAGAAATAATGAAGTCTAAACTCGCATTGCAAGAATGGCCAATACTTCTATTTTAATGATAATAATCACTGATAAAAGTGCTTTACATGGTACTTTCACGCATGAAATCTTGTATCACCCTCGTAAGTATCTTTTAACTCAGATGTAGCAGCAAGAATTACCTCCATTTTAGAGTTAAAGCAGGGAGCCTACGTGTCTTCCCAGGAGCAGTAATACTATCCGCAGCACTTACTGACTTTTAATTTGCAGGCACTGTTCTAAGCACTTTACAGGTATGGACTCTTACCATCTTCACAACAACCAATGTCGCAGGGAACATTACTGCAAGTTCATTTTCATCATTATGATCAGCCCCATTTACAGATGAGAAAGAGGAGTCACAGAGCAGTTAAGCATCATAGGTAAGTTCATACATTTCATATGTGGTAGAGCTGGGAGTGAAAACCTGGCAGGCTGGCCTGGAGTTTAGGTTCTTTGGTACCTCATTGTAAGAGTACATACATGCACAGTGCTTAGAACAATGCCTGGCCAGTAATTGACAGAGACAAGTGTTCTCACCATGCATCCTAGGGTATTTAACAAAAATACCCAAAACAAAACAAAGCCCAAAACTGCCTACTTTAATCTGGGGTTCAATCGCTCACTGTGTATAAATACAGAACACTTAAAAGAAAATCACAATGTAAAAATCACAATGTACCAAGAGCATGCTCCATGAAAGAAGTATTGATAAACTGGGTTTCATCAAAATTAAAATCTTTTTCTCTGTGAAACACCCTCTTAACAGAATAATAATAATAATAAAAAAAACAAGCTACAGACTAGGAAACAATATTCCAAACTACATATCCTGCATAAAAGACTCATATCCAGAATAAATAAAGTACTCTCAAAACTTAATAGCTAATCCAATTAGAAAATGGGCAAAAGAAATGAAGAGACATTTCACAAAGATGATCTACAGATGGCAAATAAGCACATGAACAGTTGTAAACATCACCAGCCTTTAGGGAAATATATGAATGACCCATTGAAATTCACTTGCTAGTGTCCCCTTTCTCCCTCACAGCATCTTTTCTGCAGCCAGCAGGGAGTGTCCAAGTCCAACCAAGGACAGGAGATGAGGCTAAACTTCACAAAGGCCAGAAAATCCAAGTCTGATCCTGTGTTGGTTACTACAAGCTTGAAAAACTAGTACAATGACTATCTGTGGAACTCAAGTTACCATCTTCAAGATGGGGAGTGGCAAGTTCCTTCTGGTGATATGCATGACTAATCTGGTTTTCTTCACTGCCCTTCTTTAGCAGCTCCCCGAGCCCTGAAATTTCCCATTCCCTCTAGTCTTAGCAGTTTAATTTACTTTGTTAGCAGCTGTATCTGCAATTTGTATGCACTACTCACTGCAATAGCTTACTTCTCCTTTGGGCCTCTACTAGGAAGATGTAGGACAGTCTATATGATTAATAGAAACTTCATGGCAGAAAGAGAAGAGATGGCAAAAGCTTTATCTCTGAACTATGTCTTGCCCTAGCTGGTTTGGCTCAGTGGATAGAGCATTGGCCCATCTCAGGTTTGGTTCCTGGTCAAGGGCACGTACTTCAGTTGCAGGATCGATCCCCAGCTCTAGTCAGGGTGCAGGCAGGAGGCCACAATCAATGTGTGTCTTTCACATCGACGATGTTTCTCTGTCTCTCACCCTCCCTTCCACTCTCTCTAAAAATCAATGGAAAAATGTCCTCGGGTGAGGATAAACATCAATAACAAAAAGAACCATGTCTTGATCCCTCCACATGCTTGGTTTTGCTTCTTTCTAACATCTGTTGACCTTTGGATATCTCACCTATTCAGATTTCTTGCGCTGTGAAAAATGAACTCATGTATTCCTTCTGTATTCTACCATACTTTAAACTCAAAGTTTGCATTTTACTTTATCTTGGGCTATCCTATATAATAAAGAGGTAATATGCAAATTGACCCTCATGTCATAAGGCCATCACAAGATGGCGGCGCGCACAACAGGGGAGGGGCAGCAGGGGCGGGGCCGGCAGCCGCTCCGTGCAACTTCCGCCAGGGTTCCTGGGGCCCCACAGGGGCACAGGGGTCCCAGTGGCCGGAGGCGGGGCATCAGGGCGGCACTCCAGGACTCAGGGCCGTCCCACGGTGTGCTGGCCACACGGGGCAGGACTCTGGGACTTAAGGCGGTCCCATGGCACGGGGTGCGGGGAGGGGTCCCGGGTCTTGCGTGATTTCACTCAACGGGTCACTAGTTGGTTAATAAAATTATATAGGTTTCAGGTATACAATTCTACAATATATCATCTGTATATTGTATTGTGTGTTTACCATCCCAGGTCAAGCCTCCTTCCATCACCATTTATCCCCCTTTTACCCTCTTCTACCTTCCCTATCCCTCCTTCCCTCTGGCAATCACCATAGTGTTGCCTGTATCCATGAATCTTTCTTCTTTTTTTCTTTGCTTAATCCCTTCACCCTTCTCACTCAGCTCCCAACCCCCTCCCCTCTAACAGCTGTCAGTCTGTTCTCTATATCCATGAGTCTGTCTCCACTTTGTTAGTTTATTTTGTTCATTAGATTCCACATATAAGTGAGATCCATATGGTACTAAGTAATTTTAAAATCTTACTAGTCAGCCATGAAGTTAACACCTTGGATACTGTTTGTTCTTGTGCTTAGAGTCATATTTCCATCTTTTGTCATTTTCCTTCTGCCCAAAGAACTTCCTTTAACATTGCTTATAGTGCAGTTCTACTGGCAATGGATTCTTTCACTGTTTGTATGTCTGAGAAAGGTTTTATTTCACCTTCAGTTTAAAAAATGTTTTTGCTAGGTATAGAATTCTAGGTTGACAAGTTTTTGTTTTGTTTTGTTTTTAAGCTGGGCAGAATCTCTGAGCCTTCAGCCGCAAGAAGTGGCCACTCCCACTGACTGTGTCTTCCCACACTAGCCTAAGAAAAACCCAACAACTCTGATTTGAGCAACCCTTGGGCCTCCCACAAGCCTCTAGCACAGGTTTGGTTTTTTAATTTCAGTTATTTAAAGATGTTGCTCCACTCTTTACTTGCATTGTTTCCAAAGAAAAATAATGACAGTCATTTTTATCTTTGTTTCTCTCTACATAACTTGTCTTCTTTCTCTGGTTTCTTTAAAGAGTTTCTATCTATCATTGGTTTTGAGCATTTTGATTTATGGCATGTCTGGGTATAGCATTCTTTATGTTCCTTGTGTTTAGAGTTTGTTGTGCTTATTGGATATGTGGTTTATAGTTGTCATCAAATTTGGAACATTTTTGGCTATTGTTTCCTTGGATAATTTTTCTGTTTCCCAGGTTTCTCCCATTTGTCATCAAAGACTCCTATTGCAAATATATAAAGCTGTCATCAAGCTCACTAGTCTGTCTTCTATAGTGTCTAATCTTTAATTCAATCTCAGACATTGTTGGTTATTTCTCCATAACTTTGATTTGTATCTTCCATGTTACCGGTTGAAACGGTCCATGTGATGTTGAGATGGCCCCTGTGAGGCTGGAATGGCCCCAGTGAGGTTGAGATGGCCCCAGTGAGGAATCGGCCCCGGTGAGGTTGAGACGGCCCCTATGAGGCTGAGGTGGCCCCTGTGAGACTGTGAGAGCCTCTGGGAAGCTGAGAAAAATACATGAACTCATTCATTTATGGATAATAAGGACCATTATAGACTGATGAACAAAAATGGATACAGAGGCAGAGCAGCATTGAGAAGACTGTCAAACTACAGTGGGAACCCTGGGGAAGGTTGGGGGGGAGGGTAGATCAACCAAAAGACTTATATGCATGCATATGAGAATAACTAATGGACACAAGACCCTGGAGGGTGGGGGAAGCCGGGGGAATGTCAAGGGGGAGAAAAAAGGAGACATGTGTAATACTCTTTGTAATACTTTAAGAAATTAAAAAAACAACAACAAAAAAACAAAACAAAAATACCAGATTTTTAAAAAATAGCCAAGACTAAGTGAAGCATGCTAAAAAAAATAAAGCACTGATCTGTGCCATATTTTATTTGATCACATATAGATGTGATATGTAATGTATATCTTTAACAAAAGGAAAAATGAGATATTAATTAAAGTAACAAAATATAAAATAATTATTATTTTGCTATCATGATAATGCAGGTGATTATAAGTAAAAACATAAACAAGCAATAGTTATTGCTTTGGCAGGAATATGAATATCTCAGCCATGATTCTTACTATAACATTCACTTGATTTTTTTTGACTGGTCAGTCTCAAGTGGTTTCAGGATTATTTCATAGTCTGGGTCATCAGGCTTGTGAGCCTTACTTATTTCGTCTTTCTTCAGTGTTGATGATAAATCCTTGCATGGCATCCTTCATTCTTGCTTTCACAAGACTGCCCACAAATTTGCGATCATTGTGCTGGCACCAGTCAACTTTCAAGCGTTCCCGTTCTATGGACTTAATGGAATCCAAAATAGCATGATGTTTCTGATAGTTGCGTAGGATTCTTTCCAGTTGTTGCTCAGCCCTTTGGCTTCCGGGAGGCTTGGCTCTCTGAAAACAAAGAACAACTATCACTTTTGATAGATCCAAAATCAACAGCATATTTTTAGTTAATCATGTCAATACTCAGACTAAATAAAACTTGGTACTATATAAGTTTAAGTGGCTAAGTCGTAACTTGTTTGATTCTTTGAGCCTATACTTAAGATCAAATTCGTCTCAAATATTTCTCAAGTGCCATTTGAGTAAAAGTTGATAGAATTATAAAGTAAAAAATTTGAATGGGATGCTAGAGATTATCTAGTCAAATCAGAGACATTAAGTGATTTGCTCAAGGTGCTTCAAATAGAGCAGACCTGGATAGACCAAGAATTAGAGGTCTTCCAATTCTTGACTTGATCTTGCCACTCAGTATTCTACTATTTCTCTGGGCAGACAACATAGTTACCACCATAAAAACACTTTCAATTAAAAGAGGCTACTAAGTAGCTGTGACCAGGTACCTTATGGTTGGAGCATAGTCCCAATATGCTGGGATTGCAGGTTTGATCTCCAGCTAGGGCACAGAGAAGAAGGAACCAATGAATGTATAAATAAGTTACCAACAAATCTCTCTCTCTCTCTCTCAAAAATCAATTTAAAAAATTTATAAGAGGCTGCTACCTAAGTACAGGTGACCCTTGAACAAAACAGGAGCTAGGAGCACACAGTCAAAAATCCACATATAACTTTTGACTTCCCCAAAACTTAAGTTGTCCCTTGGTATCCACAGGGGATTGGTTCCAGGACCAGCCCCCCACCCCTCGCCCTGGCCCCCACCAAAATCTGTGAATGCTAGTCCCCTATAAAAATATAAAAAATTAGATCAATGCATAGTTGGCTCTCTGGACTCCAAACTGTCAATCAAAAATTGTACAGGGCCCAGCTGGTGTGGCTCATTGGTTGACCATCCACCCATGCACCAAGAGGTCACTGGTTTGATTCCCTGTTAGGCTACGTGCCCAGGTTGCGGGCTCAATCTCCAGTGGGGGGCGTGCAGGAGGCAGCAATGGATATTTCTCTCCCTCTCTCTTCCTCTCTCTCTAAAATCAATAAAAACATTAAAAAAAATAGTACAGGTGTTTATTGAACACCTGTATGAGTGGATATCATGCAATTCAAACCTATGTTGTTCAAGGTCAGCTATACATAGAATGTATATAAAATAAGTTTTGAGCCCTAACCGGTTTGGCTTAGTGGATAGAGCATCGGCCTTCGGACTGAAGGGTCCCGGGTTTGATTCTGGTCGAGGGCATGTACCTTGGTTGTGGGCGCGTCTCCAGTTGGAGGTGTGCAGGAGGCAGCTGATTGATGTTTCTCTCTCATCGATGTTTCTAACTCTCTATCCCTCTCCTTCTTCTCTGTAAAAAATCAATAAAATATATATTTAAAAAAATAAAATAAGTTGTGAGAAGGAAGAAAGTGGGGGAGAAAGGAGAGAACTAAGGAAAAGTAAAAAAGAAAAGCAAAACCGGTGGTAAAACTTTATTTCTATTTCTATTGTGCCCAGGAGTTTAATGCAAGGGCTATGCTCCTGACATTTTGGGTAACTTGGATTTCTGTAAATATGTTCATTTTACACAAACATCCACTAAAAAGTTGGAAACGCACACACCATTTTGAATATATATTGATACATTTAATAAAATCACATGGAGTATATCTTTTTCAATTCTGTATTCCTGGCATTGAACATAATGCCTACCACTGTCAGGTTCTCATAGGAAGGAAAGACAGAAAGAAAAGACAATGTTTCTGGGTGGGCTTGATACAATTTCTGCTCCTCCTAGGGCCACCATTAAATCCACGGTCTTGAGCTTTGTACTTCCAGCTAGTTTTATCAAGTCAACCTTATGTGAGTCGTGACACTCTGGGGTCCTGATTCACAGCAACAAAACTCAACTTACAGCAGAGAGTCAATCTTATCACTTACACTTAGAACGTCATTGTCAGGACTACCAAAATACAAGGTTGGGTCTTGGTAAAGGAGTCTTCTGGAGAAAGAAAATCAACATCTGGAGAAGTTTGATGAAAAGATTAAGGGTTCCGGTACGCAGATAGACACTTAGGTTTAACTGAACAAGATAAGGCAAGGTTGAGATGAGCTAGAGACAGAACATGATGTCTGAAGTAATATGGGAATTAGCTAATTCAGAATTATTTAGAGTCTGGAGCCAGTTAACAAATTACTGTTCTCTAATATGTATGGCATTTTAGAAATGCAGCTTCAGTGTCAACAAAACAGAGCAGGGTTGAAACTACACCTTGGGTAGGATACACAGAAACTCAGGTTCCCAGTAGACATACATACAGGCTGAGAATAGCAACCAAGTTCCAAGACCATCAGGAATCAATTGTCTTGGCAAGAACCAGGCCCTGAGGCACATTTTGACTGAAGAAGGGAATAGGGTTAGAGGATAGTGAGAAACAGCCAGAGCAGTAGCCAAGGAGCCAGGAAGCCTTTTAAGGCTTGGGGCTTGCCATGCAGGACTCTGTGGCCAGAAAGGACCCATTCTCTGGATGAATAAACTATGATCTGGAGTTCTCTAACAAGGTGATGCCAATCCATGCACAGTCTTATCATTAATCAAAACTGTCACTGCTTAATAGAAATATAATGTAAACCAGATCTGTAATTTAACATTTTCTAGTAGCTGCATTTTTAAAAGTAAAAAGACAACTGAAACTAACAAAATAATATTGAATGTAAACTATAATTGAAAAATAAAATTAAAATAAAAGAGTAAAAAGAAACAGGGAAATTAATTATAATAATATATTTTATTTAACCAATATATCCAAAATACTATCATCTCAACAGGTGATTCTAAGCATATTTCAAGTGATCAAAAGTTATGTGTAGACACTGGACTCTAAACCATGCTAAAGGCAAGCAAAAAAAGAATTTTATAACTACCTTGTATTTTCAAGGTCACTGAAGGCTTTTGTTACTGTAACATCTCACATTATAGTTTCTAGTATTACAGTTTACAGTTTAATCTCTTAAAGAACAATGTCTTATATTCTAGCTAGGATTCTGGCCTCTACCCCTCTGTCCATGATCAGAATAAATGTCCTCCTAAAAAACTATTTTGAGAAGTAAATAACTGGGTTCCTAGGAGGCACTCATCAAACAGTGGCTCATTTCGATTTTCCGTTACTTCAGACATTACACCTTTTATTGCTTTTTTTCTGGTGTAGTTGTTTAGCACCCAAGTCTCGGCTCTGGTGGCTTTTATTCTTCTCCCACAACTCTGCAACTGCTACCATCCACATTTCTTATCACACCCTGACATTTGAGATGCACAGACTCTGATCTTTTCCTTTCTATTTTTCTATAAGCTCCAAGTGTAAGCTCAAAGCATTACATAGGCCTGCTTCTCTGGCCTGGAGGTAATCTGGTGGAACAGAAATTCCTACTGTTCCCAACACAAATAGTGGCACCTGACCAATGGCACCAGCCCCTCAGCTCTGTGTTCTGATACCAAACCCAGAGTAGGTAAGTTTCTGTCCCTGATGAAGTCTGTCTATAATTAACTTAAACCCTACCGTCTGTAGAAACTCCAGCGTACTGATTTCCAGACCCAATCCTACAGTCCTTGGACTTAGAAAAGAGGGAGCAGGTCTATAAATGGACTGATAATTGCTGTGTGCACCATGGAACATAAAATTGTATCCTTCATTATCCCTGATATTTCCTTCATAAAGTGTCCTCACAACTGTAGCATATCACGATCTACTGTTAACCTTTTATGGTTTTCTGCATGAGCAAGTTGTTTCTGCAATTAGATAATAAGCAACTTGAAGGCAGGGATCAGACTTCTGTTGAAGAGTGAACCTCCCAGGGTCATTGTATCTCCCACTTTGCTGTGCATGCAGGAGGCACTCAAGCAATACCTCCATAATTGCCTAATTACACATGGAAGTTTTCTAGCCTGTTGAAACACAGGTGCATGGACCTAAGACCAAGCCAGCTTTCCAGGCAACAAACCCTCCTGTTTCCATCCAGGCCTGCAGGGACACTTCTGTTACAGTTGAGTTTGCACAGAAGGACTCTATAACCCCTGGCAACCCCTCACAGCCCAACACCCCTTCCACAGACAACCGAATCACCTCCGGCCCACACCGATTTCCTGCTGCCTGATCTACTGCCTTTCCCATGACGCACACACCGCAAATCGCAAGGGACGACGACAGCCTTTGGGTGTCTTGGAAACTAAAACTCCTCAAGATCCCAAGTAGTAATTCTCCCAATACAGAATCTAAATATTGTAACAAGCAGGGGAGGGGGAGGAGGGACGGAATACCCAAGCGAAATTATCCTTCTTTTCAAAATCAACCCCATTGTAGCAGGCACCAGTTTTCCTGAGCCCCCGCTGGAGGCCAGATTGGGCTCCGCTAGGTCTGGAGTGCTCGAGGATGCAGAAAGCAGTTGGGGCCCGCACACATCCCCTGCTTACCACCATCACCACTTTGGGAGTGGGGCCCTTAACCTCCCGCTGTACGATGCCAAACCGCTGGCTGTACATTTTCGAGTCTCCCCTCGGGATAGTGCGGCGTCTGCCGCAGTTCCCTAACGGTGCAACCTGCAACCGGTGGAACCAGCTTCGGAGACACAGATGTCCCGTTGCCATGGTGAGCCTCGCGGGGCAGGTGGGTGGGGCGGAAGTTGATCCTGTCACCATGGTGACCATAGACGCCGGGACTTGCGACTTCCTCTGGAAGCAGATAAGCTGAGTCTACGAGGGGGCCCTCACCACGCCCTTGATCAGGTCTCCTGCAGACCTCGCCCTTTTCCTCTAGGGTTCATCAGAGTAGTAGAAAAAAGCCTCTTTTACCCGAAGTGAAGTCAAAGATCTAATAATATTCCAATTGGCTTTGCTATTTATATCCTGTAACCAGTCGGTCTAAAAGCACGAGAAAGGTTAGTGGACATTTTATGGGAAGGTTATTAAATGTTGTGGCCATCCTAGGATAATCTTGATAACGTAAATCATCACAAGACCTCCTGGTATGTTTTGGTAGTTCTTGACAGTAATTTGCAAGGTATTTTCACACACAGATGTTTGAGCCTCACGAATATCTTATAGGTTAACGGAACAGCAGGCATTACCCTCATTTTACAATAAAGGCTGAGAGAGCCGAACTGCCTCGTCAGCCTGCCCAACCAGTAATGATAAATCTGTTACTAATGAAATCTTATTACTCTGGGCACAAACCAAGAGTTAGACTTGGGGTACTCTAGGATGGGGGGCAGACCAGATGGGCTGGTAGTGCAGTGATAGGAATGACTGGGCACCATAAAAACCAGGAGTCTGAGTCAAGGGTCACATTGGACCAAAGTCAGGATGTGTGGATTAGATGGGCAAGTAAATGAGGCCCTGAGAATCCGGAGCCCAGGGAACTTGGAAGGGGCCCTCAGCACAGGTGGAGGCTGTATTTCCAGCCAAGAGCAATGTAGTCAATACCTTAAAGCCAATTAAGATGACTCTTTGCTGCTCTCACTCTAAAGTGGGGTGGACACAGAACACTAGAATATATAGATTACAGAAAAAAATCAGTACCTAGCCAGTCACTGTCATGTAACAATAACCAGAGCACAATTATTGTGCATACCATTTCAAGGCTTCAATTTACTGTAAATTAACATTCCTTAATCACTTGTAATCCACCCACTTCGGATTTTGTATATGGTACGTTTCTAGATTTGGATTCCATTTCCTGAATTGCTGGTTCAGCTTTTCAGCCACAAAACAATGTTTCTTCTTTTTTAATAATCTTTTAAAATAATTTTTTCCTATACTGCTTCTTCTTTCAATTGTAGTTCAGTAAAATACTCATTTTCATTTACTGCTAAGAGTTTATGTAGCCTGAAACAAACAGAGAAAGAAAGAAGTTAGATGGTCGTCTCGGATCCCTGGACCGAGTCCTGAGGGCCAGCTAGTTCCTTGACCTTTCAGTCCCACGGGTGCCTGGTCACCAGCTGGTCTCCGGACACCAAATCCTTGGGAGGGAATGAAAACACCCTCGGCCAGGCAGGGGCATTTGGGAAAAGCAGCTGAGATTTGGGGGTGCCTCAGGCACCCCCGAGGTCATAGGATCCCGTCCGAGTTTTGGTGACAGGGGGACGCTACCCCTGGGTGACACCCGGCCGCCCTGGAACGTCCCAAGCGTTGGTCCTGAGCTTGTCGTGCCGCACCCTCATCATAGGCAAGCCCCGTAATTTAACTCCAGTTCGGTTTTGCCTGTTTTACCACAATTTGAATCAATTTCCCTTATCCGGGCGGAGGCCACACCCTTGGTCCGCCAGGTCCTGCAGGGGTGAGGGGCAGAGTTCCTGGGGCCCAGGTGGGATGACTGTGGTCCCACGCCCAGGTGGGCCTATTCCGAGAGTGGAGGGGCCGGGCTTGACGCGGTGAGCCTGGGCATTCAGCCAAACCCTCATGGAGGCCTAATAGAAGTTACTTGCCCAAGGTCCTTGGTCAGAACCTGACCTTTACCTTGCCACCCACTATCCCACTTTCTCAGAGACAGTCAACGCTGTTACCATCATCATGACATTCCCAGAAGATACACTAAATATATGAATCAGTAAATAGGACAACAAAAGTCATTTAAAAATAATTTTAAAATAGAACAGATTAGAGACAAAAACTATATTATTTCCAATTCCTATTGGGCCCCAACAAGGTTCATACAAGGGCTATCCTCTTGATAGTTTTCTGAATTCTACAAATTTCATGAAAGTTGGAAATCCATTCACCATTTGCAATACATATTGATGTATTTAATAAAATTGCATGGACTATATCGTTTTCATCCCTGTACCCCAGTTATTTTCTCAATAGTGACAAAGAGCTGAGACCCACATTTCTACTGGGTGGGTTTGACGGAATTTCTGTATTGCTGGGTCACCATGAAATCCATGGTCTTCCTTCCACTTTGCATTTCCAGCAATGTAGCTTTATGGAGTTATCCTCAGGTAAGTAGTGAGACCCTTTGGAGCGGATTCATGACAGGGTGGCTTAGTGATGGGTCACGTTGACTAGCCTAGGTTTCCCAGAACTCCCTTCCCCATACGCTTCCGGTTAGAATGGGCCACAAGAAACATTTTATGTGCTAACTGCAGGGAGAAGTGAAACAGCAGCATGTTGTTTTTACGCTTTGAAAGTTGGTGCAGGAGCACCAGGCACTGTTGCAGTTCACACGTTGTCATTTATCTGCTGGCTGCCTCCTAGGTGTGAAGTAACAGGTCTGAGGCTGCTCCACCTCTCCAGGATCCTCCTCCGGCTTCTCAAATTCCTAGGCCAGATGCATATTTAACTCTGTGGTGAAGGGCACCAGTTTCTTCTGCAGGACACCCACGTCATCGAAGTTGGAGGTGGTGAGTGACATGGGTTCCAGGCCATCTGCAAGGGGGGTCCAGCTTGTGCTTGTGGGCGCCAATGTGTCCTCGGTCTCCCACATTTACATCCATCTTCCCTTCCCGAATGCCTGCCCTGCAGACTTCAAGCTCCAGCATTAGATGCAAAGACAACAGCCTTACAGAGACTGTTTAACCTGCTCCCACAATTGCGTATGGTCAAATACCTATAAATCCCTTAATATACATATATATATATACATATATACATATATATAAATATACATACATACATATATATAAAATCTTTATGTCAGTGGTGCTGCTTTTCTAATTTACCCTGATACACATGATAACCAGATTCTTATTTCATCAGTCAGAATACCAATCAAATCAATTTCACATAGGACATCATTGTCAAAATTACCAGAATACTAGGGTTGGGTGGTTGGATCCTGGGAGGAGCAAAACAATAGCAGAAAATTATCCAGTCGACTCTGGCTGAAGTAGGTGGGACAGGCAAAGACAGGAGCAGAAGAGGGTGGCAGAGAGCTGTATCATGAGTTACAGTAGGGAAATAGCTAATCTACATCTGAATTATTAAAGCTGCAAGGCTGGAACTAGAGTAAGGCAAGGGATGCACAAAAGCTACAAAATTTAAGGGGCACACACTCAGTCCCGACCTTGTAAAGCTGGCTAAGTAATGATCTCATGTCTCATCACTTTTAGCACTATGCAAAATATTGGACAGTGAGGCAGGCTGAGCCAAGACTGGCCCTTTGACAGGACTTGAAGCAGAAACTCATACTCCTAGTAGATGGGCTGAAAGCAGAAACCAAGCATGAATGTCAAGGGGCAGGGGACACAAGTGGTCAAGAAAGATGAGCCAAGCTGACAGTTCTACTTCGAAGACTGCTTTGGCTGAAGAGGAAGAGGGAGGGAAACGCAAAATGGACAGCAGCCAGTGTGGAAGGATACCCTTAAGGTTTGAGGAATCTTACGCAACCCCAGAGACCTGGAAAGAACCCAGTCTCTGGATGCACAGGTGCTCTAACAAGGTGACCCAAGCACACAGCCTTGGCACCCCTAGACCATGCTAGAGACAGCAGTGTAAAGGATTTGTTATAATGCTTAAAATTAATCCACCCTGTTTTTGGAGTTGCTGGAAACTTGTTACTATATTATTACACATTACTGAGCTCAGGATTACAGTTTCTGGGTTAGTGGCTTAAAGAACAAGGCTTTTACATTAATTAATGGTTTAATTCTAGACTCTATCAATACTAGCTGTTTGACATTGGACAAGTTATTTGATTTCGGAGTCTGTTTTTCCATCTGCAAAAATGGGCACAATCAGTCTTCCTGAAAAGACCATTCTGAGAAATAAACTGGGTCCATAAGGAAGAACTCACCAGATTGCAGTTCCTTTCCTTATTTATTCACATTACATTTTCAATTGCTGTCTCCCTGAGGAAATGTTTAGAGACACTGCCAGGTCTCACCCAGAAGCCATTTAATAGTTAGGAAGAGGGCTGGTTTAGCTTGTTTATGGTGGCTCTAATTCTATCCCCCAGCCCCAACACCAGCTCCTCCACCCCTAACAGTCAAACTTCTTGTCATGTTCAGGCTTCTGGGATTTGCACCATTTAGAGCAGATGCACCAACTTTCTACTTTCTCTTCCTTTCTTCCTTACTTCCTCTATAAGCTCAAAGGACTGAACAGGCCTGCTCCTCTGGTTTGGTGGTGTTTCCAGTTCCCACTGATTCCTACACAAGCCCTAGCGATTGCTTTACGGTCCAGCCTCTGAGTAGGTCAGTGTTGTCTCTCATAAAGCCGGTCTGTAAATTTCACCTTGAATCCTACAGTCTGCAGAAGCCTCCAGTCTACTGCTTTCTAGTTCCAGGTTTTTTAAGGTCCTTGGACCTAGAGAAGAGGGAGCAGGTCTGTATGTTGAATGTTTGCTATGTACAAAATGGAGCATCACAAAACCATTTCCTACTCTTCTTCCCCTTATTTCTTCTCTCTCTTCTAAAATCTTCCATTACAAACAGCACATCACTCCCTTCTTTGTTATATGTAATGATTTCATGCATAGGAAAACTGTTTCCTCAGTTAGATTATAAGCTCCCTGAAGGCAGGAATACTCCTGAAAGACAAGCCTTCCATGGTCATTGTATTCACTGCTATTCTCACCCACACTGCAGTGTATCCAGCAGGGACTTAATCAGTAGCTCTGTAATTGCCCAAGTGCAGATGGAGGGACTTCTGGCCTGCAGAAACTAGTTTGTAGGAACAAAAGAACCCAGGTACTGAGGTCAATGGTTTATGGTGTCTATGTCTGGGGCTCTGTGTGGGGCCTGTCAACATTCTGCAGGAAGTAGCACTCCCCGTCCTCTCACTATCCCAGTCCTTATAGGCACTTAGCCTTCATCCTGTTGCCAGGCGCGCAGGGACAGTTCTGCACAGCAGATGAAACTGTTAATAACCTCAACAGGCCCAGGAAAGGCTCAAGAAACATAGCCTAACCCCCTCCACAGAGGATGCTCCAGGAGGTACAGGACTAGTCCAAGATCACACACTTGTGTGTCAACCCAGATCTCCTACTCATCCACCACTGTCCAGCCACCTGGTCATCTCTTGGAGACTCTAAAGGCATTGAAGACCCCAAATGATGATTCTCTGAGTACAAATTTAAAGTCTGACTCCTGCTGGTTTTTTCTTAGGGACCAGGCTTTCTTTCCTTTTTTCTTTCTAATCTCATCACAGGACACCAAGTCCTCTCCCTTGACACCCCCCACCCCCCAAGATAAGCCGTGACCTGGACCTCAGGAAATCTCTAGGGGCCTACACATACCTCCTCACTGATCATGATCAACACAGTGTGGGGCCTTTACCTCCTACTGCACCATGCCAAAATACTCAAGGCTCAATACTCAAGGCCCACATCTGACCGGAACCCACCCCATCCCCACCCCTCACTATACGGGGCACACCTTGGCAACCAGACTGCTGTGTCCCGAAGACGGGTTCCACCCAGGCTGAAAATCTCCGTGATCTGGGGAAGAATTAACATCATGGGTCAACATGGCTGGTTGGGTTAAAACTAGGTCAGGGCAGGGTGCGGTGTCCCCGAGCACTGACCACTGGCGTGCCAGCCCCTCCTGCCTCCTCTGGGGCCGAATCAGAGGCTGAGTCATCCTTGCTCTTCTCTTTGTCCTCCTCAGGGTCAGGTGGCTCTTGCTTCACACGTGGCAGGCCTGAGTCTACTGCCTGGGAGAGGTGGGAAATAGGCAACAGTCAGAAAAGCAAGGTTGGCCTAAGGAAAGAGTCTCTTATTGGCCAACCTGTCACTGTGCTCATATACCCCACTTCTATCACACTTCAGCACAGAAAAACCATCTGTCTAAAAAAT